AATTATGGGTCCTCTTCAAAATAAAGTGGTCAAATAGAAAGTTATGAGTCCTTTTCAAAATAAAAAGGCCAAATAGAATATTATGGGCCCTCTTCAAAATAAAGTGAGAAAGACTTGAAGTTTAAAAAAAAAAAAAATAATAATAATATAGTCAATGCCTCCTTCTCCAAATCTCATTGGACATGGGGCATTGGGGGGCAAATGATGGGTTAAACTCAAATAGTCCAATTTATGTGTTAAAGTCCAACTCCAGTTGAGGAGCCCAACCTCATTTTGAATCCACCAAGCCCAAGACAGTCCAAGACCGGTTAGACTTTTTGCTTAGCACNCTGGTCCCGGGAAAGCACAGGTATATCTGCATGGAAAAAGTGAGCACACACGCATAAAAAAAAAAAAGGAAAAAGAAGAAGTGTGCAGCATACCGGGTTTTTTAGCAGCACCCCAATGTGTTGGCACCAAAGCTCTGTCGGCTTCTGAATCCCATTCTCCACCAATAAAGAAGAAACAAGATTTCCAGCACCCTAATGTGTTGGCACCAAAGCTCTGTCGGCTTCTGAATCCTATTCTCCACCAATAAAGAAGAAACAAGATTTTCAGCCGCCGCAATTAGAGCGCGTTCCTGTAAGCACTATACCACTCCGCGCGGTAAAATAGTACCATCCCCTAATTGGTGTAGGGGTTTCGCTCAAATTATATGCTGCATGAAACTCCATAGGGGAAGCATCCTCGTGGTGCACCTTTCTCCATAATGTAAGAAAACCGAGCAGAACTCTCCAACTGTTGGGCGCTAGTCGCCCTGGAGTCAAGGAAAAGTAATGCAAAACACGACAAATGGGGGAGGACATGAAAAATCTTAACCCAGCCTCAAGCATCTCCTCGCAGACAACAATATCCCCGGAATAGGGCACAACACGGTCGGAGGGATGCGATAAGTAAAAACAAGCCTTGAAATATCTTCATTTAAGTGGAACAAACTAGAAAGGGTGCTCACCTTAGACCCGTCATCATCAAGTCCCACTTTGCTCTTGCGTTTCTTCTTTCGGGGCCTTAAGGAGTAGTCCAAATCATCATTGAGAGAGTCTTGAAGAACTTGAATCGGGGGAGCTACAATAGGGGCTTGATCACCAAGAGCAGCACCCAAAGCTTCCTTACTATTTGCAATGTCTAGCCCAACGCCTGGAAGCGTGCCTGACTGCTGTTGCTCGTCAAAACAAAGTTACCCAGTAGCTTGAAGGGTGCCTGGCCCTTCAAAATTGCGCAAAGCAGAATTTTCGGCACAAAAATCAGCACCTAAGGCGCCCAAATCAGTGCCTCGAGTGGGAATCGAATCAGCCCGTTCTCCCAGGCCACTGCCTAGCTCTCCCTGATGAACCTTGGACTGATTTTCAGCACCCCTTGATGGAAAAATACTGCTGTCCAGTGTTCCAAAGCCGCCCAGCGTAGCAGAACTGAAGCTGTCCAGCGCAACTGAGCTGTCCGGGACAGCAGAAACAATAGCCAGGTTGCTGCCTAGCGCACTTGGGCTGTCCAGGACAGCAAGGCCAGTGCACAGGCAGCTGCCCAGCGCTCTTGGGCTGTCCAGGATAGGAGGAGCAGAGCCAGGCAGCCGCCCAGTCCCCCACCGCGCGCGCGCGAGCTGCGCAGTCACGCGCCTGCTTTGCCTAGTCGTGCGCCCAGCCGTTTCCCTTCGTTGCCCAAGCCACTCCTCGCGCTGCCCATCTCCCCTTCGCTGTATAGCCCTTCATTTATAGCCCCAAAGCTATCCAAGACAGCATTCGAATGCTCAAAACCAGCCTCCAAGTTCTCTAAAATAGTGCCTACTTCCTCCCTTTCTTTAACCTCCATCACTCCCTCTTCAATCGACATTGTTTACTTGAGAAGCTCAACTAGCAAGGAAGAAATCACACTCTTGAAAGGATTCAAAGAGAACACACTTTGGCTTCAACAAAATGGGTAGGACTTGAGTTCTCAAGGTTTTCAAGAGGTGGGTGCTCAACCTTAAAAATGAGTGAAATGGGTAACATGAAGAAGAAGACTATATTTATAGTCTAGGGTTTTTCAAAAAGAGGGAAAAAGCCCAAATAGAAAATTATGGGTCCTCTTCAAAATAAAGTGGTCAAATAGAAAGTTATGAGTCCTTTTCAAAATAAAAAGGCCAAATAGAATATTATGGGCCCTCTTCAAAATAAAGTGAGAAAGACTTGAAGTTTAAAAAAAAAAAAAATAATAATAATATAGTCAATGCCTCCTTCTCCAAATCTCATTGGACATGGGGCATTGGGGGGCAAATGATGGGTTAAACTCAAATAGTCCAATTTATGTGTTAAAGTCCAACTCCAGTTGAGGAGCCCAACCTCATTTTGAATCCACCAAGCCCAAGACAGTCCAAGACCGGTTAGATTTTTTGCTTAGCACGTCATCAAGAGGAGAGCATGAGAAGCTTATCTGCACCACCGAAGGAAACGGTCCAAGCTTTGACCGCGTTTCATGAAGAGCTCCCCAACCTTCTCATTCCATTGAGGATAAGTCGTGATCTCCACCAGAATGATCTTTTAGTGCTATAAAGTAGCCTTGAGGATAAGTCATGATCTCCACCAGAATGATCTCTTAGCTGCGATAAAGTAGTCTTGAGGATAAGTCATGATCTCCACAAGAATGATCTCTTAGCTGCTATAAAGTAGTCCCAATCTGTGAGGAGACTAGATATAAATGGCACGCCCCACCAACACTTACAGAGGACAGACCGGCGACCGGATACCACTGCTTCTTTGATTCTCCATTCTCTCAAAGCTTGTATCTCTATTCTCCATACTTCTGAATTAATAAAATACCCGGCAACTGAAGCCATTGAAGAGTGGACGTAGGTCGAATTGACCGAACCACTATAAATCGTGTCTTCTTTAATTTTCTCATTGATTTCACTGCATTTATTACCTACACTTGACAGGTGGTGTGCAAAACCATTTTTGTGCATCATCAGATGTCACTGTGATTATGCTTTGGATATTTTTGGTTAGAAAGAAAAAAATATAAAAGAATAATGAAAACTAAAAATAGTAACAAGTGAAGTGAAAGAAAATAAAACATATCTTATTTCATGTGCTTATTCAAAATGATAATTTTCAAGAAACTCATAAAAAAAATTTAATTTAAAATTTGAAAAGTAAGAGAATTATTATACTTACTAAACTACACTTATTCTCTTTAGACAATATAATAAATCTAAAAAATTAAGTTTTTTATTTTTTTGTATGTCGGTAGTGTTATGTTTAAGTCATGCTATGTTTAGATTTATTTAATTAATGCAGGACCCCAATTTAGAATTTTGTATAATCAATTTTGTGTCTCTTCGTTTGGTGTTAGGTTTACAATGTATATAACTTGTATTTAATCAAATTCATGTCATGTTTAATCAAATTCATATTGACCTACTTATTTGACAGATCTACCATGTTCATCCACTTCCCAACAAACCCACTAAAATTTTATGGAAACCCAATAATTTTGAATTGATTTGTTATCCAATTTGTGAATCATGTTTAGAATTGATAGTCGTAATTGTGATGGTAAAATCAAACTCCTAATTAAAAAATAATGGTTCTAATCTAACCAAAACAATAAATAAAATAATTTAACCTTTTAAGCTACAGTTGTTTTTGAGTTCTTGTTCTAGAAGGAGAGAGATTGTACAGGGAAGGGTTCATTGACACAAGAATCTGTATTGAAATGAAAATAGGATAAAGATAACCCTAGGCAATCCAGAAGTCTTTGTCACCCTAAGCAAGTGGTGGGAACGAGTCTCACTCCCTCTTAATTGAACCACCCTTTTTCACTTTTCTAATTAGTCATATAAAAACTTGCTAAGAGTTTTTACTAAGTTTTAGGGTAAATTACAACCAGAAACCTTGAAATTTGTCATTTAATCACCTAGATGCTCTCACATTTGACATATTATACTTAGATCTTTTGAGATTTGTGCGCGTGTAACGCATAACCCCTATCGCCAATCTCCGTTAGGGTAACCGTTAAAAATTAATGAAACTAAACAAATATTTATTTGTTGTGGGATACAAATTCTGTAACATTGAGTTTTTTCTATTTTTATTTGCTTAGAAACGATGGAATAAGTAAACAAAAAAAAAGGGGGGGGGGGGATGAAACATAACTAACATTTCATAAAAAAAAAAACAAAACTAATGCACAAGAACCCTAATCAAATAGATATTTTTTTAAACAAAAATTGATGTACCAAAACTCATGTCCTGACACACTATATATTTGGATTGATACCAGTAATCAAACTAACAACCAATTTGTTTTGACAATACCCTAATTAGTACCTTTTAACAAAGCCGCAAATAGCCAAAAATATAATATTAAAATCATGTGTTATTTTCTTAAAATTTGCAAAAAAAATAAATTTTTATTGGAGATTGGCGAATTTTTAACGGCTACCTTAACGAAGACTAACAATAGAATTATGTGTTACATGTGCATAAAAATTAGGGGTCTAGGTGATTAAGCGAAAATTTTCAGCCGGCTTGAGTGTAATTTACCCTAGGTTTTATCATATCTTTCACTTAGGCAGAGAAGCTTCAGTGATGGTGGTAGATGCAGGAGTCTTATCTATAAACTGTCCCTCTCCAATTATACCTAATGTAACTTATGGGATTGAATAATGATCAACGAATCAAGTAACGAATAGCCGTCCAGTAACATGGTGAGAAGTCATGAGCCTTGAAGTTTGAACAGTTCAACCTCCAAACTCTTCCACCCAAAGCTATTTCCTGTCATTAATTACATGATTTTCCTGTACAGACCTCCGTTGGGTTGGGACTCGTTCAAACGATTGTGACCTTGCTAACCTCTTGTTGGTGGTGTTGCTTGGTCACAGCCAAGTTGCAAGGTCTTTTCTATATATGCCTATAGGTACCGTTGGGTCTGACATTGATAATAAGCTCCATCTTTCTCTTTAGAACTCTTCAACTCCCAAACTCCTCATGGCTGCATACATTTCCTTGGCTTCCCTTCTATCTCTTTTCACTGTATTTGCAGCATCCCAGTCTGTTAAATTTGTCTACAATGGATTCAACGAAACAAACCTAACTCTAGTTGGTGCTACGGTCATCAGACCCAGTGGAGCACTTAAGCTTACTAATAAATCCCACCATGTTATAGGCAGTGCTTTCCATCCCATTCCCATTCCAATGTTCAATACTAGTTCTTCTGCTGCTCCAAATGCTTCTTCATTTAGCACTTCTTTTGTGTTTGCAATAGTCTCCCCGAGCAGTAGCAAAGGAGGTTTTGGCTTCGCCTTCACATTAGCTCCTGCAATGCAATTTCCAGGAGCTCAGGATGGTCATTACCTTGGGATCCTCAACGAAACAAACGATGGAGATTCTTCAAACCATATCTTCATGGTAGAGTTCGATACAGTTGCCGGATTCAAAATGGATTCAGACACCCAAGGTAACCATATTGGAATCAACATCAATAACATGAATCCGAACGCATCGGAGCCAGCAGCTTATTTCGTTAACGGTACTAATAAAAAGCGTGAAGTGCCCTTGGAGAGTGGAAAAGCAATCTATGCTTGGATAGACTATGATGGTGTAAAGAAATTAGTGAATGTTACGATAGCTCCCGTAGACTTTCCAAAACCAAGTCGACCTCTCATGTCCGAATCCATTGACTTGTCGCCTGTGCTTAAGAACAGAATGTATGCTGGCTTCTCAGCAGCCACTGGACAAAAGGCAAGCTTTCATTACATCCTTGGATGGAGCTTTCGGGTGAACGGAATGGCTGATCGACTTAATCTTTCTCGGCTTCCTATACCACCAAATGAAACAAAATCTTCTTCTAAAATCCAAATTAAAAAGGCCCTTATTGCCACTTTCTGCGCGGTGGTAGTACTTTTCCTGTTGGGGACATTGTTCACAGTTTTTATATATCGACCTACAAAGCAGTTTGAAGTTCTGGAGGATTGGGAGTTGGATTGTCCTCACAGGTTTCGGTACAGAGATCTTAATACAGCAACCAAAGGATTCAAAGACAGCGAGCTAATAGGAGTTGGTGGCTTTGGTAAAGTATACAAAGGTGTGTTACCAAACACTGGAGCTGAGATTGCGGTTAAAAAGATATCCAACAATTCAGTCCAAGGAATAAGAGAATTCGCAGCAGAGATTGAAAGCTTGGGTCGATTAAGGCACAAGCATCTCGTGAATCTTCAGGGATGGTGCAAACGAAAGAATGATCTCCTTCTAGTCTATGACTATATCCCAAATGGAAGTCTTGCTTCTATACTTTTCAGTACCAAAAAGAACTTCGTACTGAGTTGGGAACACAGATTCAATATAGTCAAAGGCATAGCGGCGGGACTACTGTATCTACATGAAGAGTGGGAGCAAGTGGTGATTCATCGAGACGTGAAGTCGAGCAATGTGCTCATTGATGCTGATATGAACGGTAGACTTGGAGATTTTGGGCTCGCAAGATTGTATGACCATGGAAAACATTCACACACTACCCACGTTGTTGGTACAATAGGTTATATTGCACCGGAACTGATACAAACCGGGAAGGCCTCTAAGAGCTCTGATGTCTTTGCATATGGTGTTCTACTTCTTGAAGTGGCTTGTGGGAGAGGACCTATTGTCCATGAAGTTCCAGATCCTGGTCATGTGATATTAGTGAACTGGGTGATTGAATGCCTACAAATGGGTCGAATTCTTGACGCAGTTGATCCCAAGTTGAATTCAATGTATGTGGTTGAAGAGATGGAGTTGGTTTTAGGGCTTGGTCTGATCTGCTCTCATCCTAAACCAGAAACAAGGCCTACCATGAGAGAAGTAACGCGGTACCTAAATGGAGATGAACCAGTTCCGATCTCTAATACGATAAGCTCGGTTGATTCTCGGCAATTTGATGACATCACAACTAGATTCTTAGATGTTCTATCGACGGATATGATTACCACATCATATCGCTCATCTTCCATAGGGAAGATGTCCTCCAGTTCTTTTGACAGTGCGAGACAGTTAGACTAAGACCCAGACTATACATTGTTGATTTTATATTTGGGGTCTTGAGCGGAATTGTTTGAATTAACTTGCATGTTGAGATGATAATCCATTCTGATTAATATTTTCGTATAACAATTATTCTGGGTAGAAACAACTTCTCAATTATCTCTGTGCTTCATCCATGCTTATTTAAGTTGTGCGTAGGTGTAACTCTTGAGAAAATATTACACATGAATGACCACAAGTACTAGAGTTATACGTGCAACAACTTCATGAACTCAAGGACACTTCGTCCATCATACGTTTTGCCTGAAAATCAGTAAGTCCTAGACCTGGAATCATCACCTATTTCATCAGAGTGGGAGGGGTTCATACTAGAGTTATATGTGCAATAACTTAATGAACTCGAGTCCACTTTGTCCATCATACGCTTTGCCTGAAAATCAGTAAGTCCTAGACCTGGAATCATCACCTATTTCATCAGAGTGGGAGGGCACTCATACCGGGGATTACTCTCGTTTCATAGACAGCAATGGACCAGAAAAAAGGAAATAATTCCTCAAAGCATGCTAAGAAATTCATACCGGAGTGGCTAGTCCACAAGAGTTGCTAAAAATTTGTTCTCATTTTTGGCTCTTCAAGTTCACCTATCAAAATTAGATCCTGCTATATTGGATTTCAGTAAGTGGGACTACTATAAGATGTTTAAATCAGTTGATACCACTGTCTTTCTGCATTCAATTCATTAACCAATTGAAGAAGACGCCATTATGCCATTTTTTTCCCCAAAATTCAATTTGAAAACGTTCTTTATGGGACACTACTGGGAATCAACAAGAAGATGACACGTATCCTCGACACTAAGGACACTTCCAGCATTCAGATGAAGACATGTGTCATCGGCACCGAGGACACTGGAATGCTCAAATGAAGACACGTGTCTTTGGCATCGGGGACACTGGAATGCTCAGACAATGACACGTATCCTCGACGCCGACATCCTTTGCCTATCTACATCTAACACGTGTCCTCGGTGCATGGGCTCTCAGAGCACTGGGATTCTGACACGTGTCCTCGACATGATTAGACTCCGAGGTTTGTTTTTAGACACGTCATCTCGATCCCAAGACGGATAATTGACGGTTACATCCAATCAAAGTCAGTGTTGGACAATCATCATTGACTTGCTTTCCCAAAGAAGTCAGAATGACAGAAAAGACAAGACCTGCGATCAAAGAGAACTAAACATGTCGCACAGGGTACAGAATTAGGGGCAAATGGGCGAGAATGCCCCTGCCTGTGCGTAGCCATCACAGAATAATATTTAATGATCTTTTAGAAGGATGAGACGAGTTTGTTGCCTAGGGCTCCTCAAGGGAAGAACAGTAACTGCTTAGGGGGTCGAGAATTAAATGCGAATAGTCCCCCACGCAATATAGAAGGCACTCTGCCCAAAAACTGGACACCACCACTTGTTGCCTCTCAGATGGGCCAATAGGGATCTCATCCTGAAAGGGTCCACCTACAGCAATGATGAATCCCATGAAGGTATAAATAGCTCTTAGAAATTGGAGAGAAAAGTATGCAAATTAGACTCCAGACAATAACATAGTGCATTTTTCCTTCCCCTCTCTCACAAACTAACTTGACCCTTAGAGGGGATACGTCGAAAAACACTATGACACCCTTCTAACTCTTCTTTTGAGTGCTCGGAAGCATCTTCTTTTGAGTTCCATGAATCGATCGAACAACTGAAAAAATTATTCATCACCACTCCTTAGATTATCTTTGGCATTCCTTTACTACGAGACTGTCGACTTTCCACGTAATCTCGAGTTTACTAAGGGAGAGAACTATTTTTTTACTAATTGTGCAAAAATCACCGCACACAGTTTGGCGCCGTTTGTGGGAAGCAACCAAGTTTTCCCAAAAACAGTGACCATGGTGAATACTCGTAAGGGAATGGTCCTTAGCAAAGAAACGTGGATTTGTCGGCTCTCTGTATGTCAAGAACGAATGATCACTTTGAAAGTGTCAATAAGGAAATTTCAGTTCATTCTAGGGAAAAAACCTTCCAAACGGAATTGAGTCTCAAGGTTAAGAGAGACGGCCCCTTGACCCGTTAGCTTGTCGATTTAATCGAGGAATGGCTGAGAAATCGACTTTGATAGTTAAAGGAAAACAATGTTAACATTCTTAATTGACTTGATGAGTTTGTACTTTTCAGTGGAGGATCTCGAGACTTACGACAGTCAAAGGAGCTCTCCGTCAGGGAGGTGGGAGCTGGAGGCTTGAGGAAGCGCTTGAGTAGCGGGGCAAAGAGCTCCAAGGCTCTGAAGCTCCTGAGGGCCAATGGACAGGACCCGAAGGTCCCAGCCAAGAAAATTATACCATTGGCTTGGAATGACCTTCACCGAAAACTGTTCGGGCCAGAGGGCGTAGAGGAGTTTGAAGAGGAGTCAACCCTCTCCGTGCGGAACGTTGAAGCTGGGGGCATGCCACCCGACGCCAAGAAGCTGAAGAAATGTACCCCAAGCAGGGGGGAGATCTCAGGGCAAAGTTAGATTCTATCAGGAGGGATAAGGGCATCCCAGAGGACGACATGGACGACGAATCTATTATGTCCTCCTTCACTAAGAATATCATGGAGATGGAGGTACCAATGAAGTTTGTGGTGCTGAGATTCAAAGTTTATAACTGAAACTCTGACCTAGAGGCTCATCACTGACAGTATAAGCAGATGATGTCCCTTTACCACTCCGAGCACTGACTGCTATGCCGAGTTTTTTTATGAGCTTGGGGGACACAGTCATGAAGTGGTTCAAGACCTTTCCACCCAATATCATAGGGTTTTGGAAGGAGTTGGCTAGACAATTTTTTGCCCGATTCATTATAGGGAGCAAACGCTTGAAGGATGTTTGGTCATTATTAACCCACAGGGTTAAGGAAGGAGAAATACTCTGCCAGTATACCACTTGCTACTAGAAGGAGGTAAATGAGGTAGAAAGATGCTATGAGGTCATGTTGGCGACCTCTTTTAGACTTAGCCTCTCTTAGGATACAGATCTCTATAGATCCTTAACAAAGAAGACGCCAATAAACATGGGTGAGCTAATGGCCCAAATCAACAAGTACTCCCGAATATAAGATGAGATAGTGGGAGGCAAAGGAAAGAGTTAGACCCCATAAAAGAAGGACAAGGAGAAAGAAGGGGCCTCTTCCCAAAAAGGATTGGTAACTGTACTAGGGAATTTGTTCAAAAGGGTCCATACTGTGTTTAAGGAGCCCATTTATAATTTGTTACACAAGATCAAGAAGGAGCCTTTCTTCAAGTGGCCACCCAAGATACAAGGTGATCTGTCCACCAGGTATCATAATGCAAGGTGTTCATACCACAAGGACATGGGACATCTCACTAAAAATTGCAGAGTTTACAAGTCCTTCTTGGAGAAGTTGGTACATGAGGGACACCTTAAGGAATATATTGAGGAGGAAACGCCATTGGAAACACATGTCCCCGATGACCAAGTCACTGTCCACGACAATGTTATTGACTTCATCCATGTCTGCCCAGTAGAACGGCCAACGACCAACACCCTTAGGTCTGACCTCAAGAGGGTAGCCTTTGCCAGAAATGTGGAAGAAAAAGATGGGGGCCAGCCCAGCAAGAGGTGCCAGACGGATCAAGGAAGTATCACTTTCTCCAACACCGACCTAGCGGGCGTGGTCGTCCCCTATGAGGATGCCTTGATCATAACTTTTAAGATTAGTGATTTCAATGTCAAGAGAGTCTTGGTAGATTCTGGGAGGTCCTTGGAGGTGATGTACCTCAATGTATAACCGCATGGGCCTTGGATCCAAAGATATCATAAGAGTCAGGATGGCCATTGTCGAATTCAATGGCTCGTTCATGTTACCCCTAGGGAAGATCACTCTGCTAGTTATCACGGGACTCGTCACGATCGACATGGAGTACGTGGTGATCGATTTCGATTCATCCTACAACATGATCATGGGACGGACTTGGCAACATGCATTGGGGCCAGTACACTTCACTTACCATCAAAAATTGAAGTTCCCCACCCTAGAAGGAGTAATGAAAATTTACAGAGATCAAGCCTCAACAAAGAGTTGTTTCTATGTCGTGGTAAAGGTTGGGGTTGGCTCCAAAGAGAAGGAACGAGCTCCAAAAGAGGTACTAAACAAATATCAATTACAGGTGATTGGGCGTAAATGATCTGATAGATTGATCGGTAGAGGATCTCTGAAAGGTAGTCTTGGTGGAGGAAGATGAAGAAATGTAATTCTTGTATGAGGTACACGAAGGCATATGTGGGAGGCACTTAGGTGGACGATCAATGACCTATCGCATCATGTCCCAAAGGGTATTGGTGGTCGCAGATGCAAAGGGATGCCTCTGAAATGCGATAAATATCAGAGGTTTGCTCAAGTTATCAAGTAGTCAGTTGGGGACTTGCACCCATTAACCAGTCCTTGGCCATTTGTCCAATGGGGACTTGACATAGTTGGACCACTTCCGAGGGGCCCAAGGAACAAGAGGTTCCTAATTGTTGGGACCGATTACTTGACAAAGTGGGTCGAGGCAGAACCATTAACTCATATCAGAGATACGGACACTAAGAAGTTCATATGGACGAACATAGTGACGAGATTCATAGTCCCCTGTACACTTGTCTCAGATAACGGGACTTAGTTCAACCGCGGACCCTTCAAGTCTTTTTGTGAGCATCTCAAAATCCAAAATTATTGCTCCACCCCTGCATATCCGCAATCCAACAAACAGACGGAGTCTTCAAATAAGACCATCGTTAATGCAATCAAGAAAATGTTGGAAAAAGCTAAAAGAAAGTGGGTGGATGAACTCCTAAATGTCCTTTGGGCCTATAGGAAAACTCCTCGAACCTCAAAAGGGGAACACGCTACGTCCTTACATATGGAGTAGAGTCAGTAATTCCACTGGATATAGGCCTCTCTACCATAAGAACACAAGCCTTTGATACTGG